TACGAAGTGGGATGCCCTGTGTTTGCCCGCGAATACAGAACGAACCATAGTCCTTGGGCAGAAGCCAGAGTGGTCAGAAGAGTTGGTCGAGTTATGTACGAAGTAGAGGTAGGAAGTGATAAATGGTCATGTCATCGAAATCAGATACGCAGACCGCTAGCCCCAGATCGCCCATCAAGAACAGAAAGCCTTGCCCTTGCTTGATACTTTCAACCTACCGGCAGCCCCGCCACGAGAAGAAACTCAGCAGCAAGCTGTTCTTCGGCCGCGAAGGTATCCTCTAAGACAGCGGCGAACGACAGTCAAGATGCAAGTCGACCCCATGAGAACACGCTATTAAAGAGGGGAGAAGTGTTGGGGATGTTAGATCCACAAAAATCGCTTGTAAAATGCCTTATTTTGGATTCTACGTTTGCCAGCATGGGCTTATCAGTTGACCTTGAAATTTCAATTCCCACCAGGAAGATCCATGGCTGTGATTGGTGTTGGGATAGCCAATCGAGAAGAAAGCCACGCACGTTGTGGATTGATGAACGATTTGACTAATGTTCATGATGAACTATATGATTAATATTCATGATGAACTATTTGATTAATGTTCGAAATATTTAAACGACATTTAAATAATTGTATAAATACGCATGTTTGATTGTATATTTTTGATTCTGTTAATAAGTGTTCTCCAACATCTTCCGTCTTCTTATTTTTGAACAGAGGGGTCTAACGTTCGGTGTGTCATTAGTACAGTGGTTTGGCGTTACATCAAGTACAAAACATAAAAGTGGCGACGAAGTGTTCAACCCACAATGTCATTTACCCTTGAACAGATAGAATCTTTACTGGAAAGTCAAGGAAAACGATATGAACAGTTCCAGGAACGTATGTTGAAGTTGTTAATGAAACAAATGAATTTGAATCACAGAGGTCCTACCGACGACTCATATAATCCACATACAGACTCGATAGTTAATTCCATTCATGAATTTCATTTTGATGGCCTTGCTGGTGTGACTTTCGAGTCTTGGTCTAAGAAGTATGAGAATTTGTTCAAGGTCGACCTCAACAAACTTGATGACGCCACCAAAGTCAGAATACTCTTGAGAAAGCTCGGCACAATCGAACACGAACGTAATAGTAGTTTCATCCTCCCAAAGAAACCACGAGATTTCACTTTTGATGCTACAATTGAAACGCTGTCGCAAATCTTCTCTGAACAGTCATCTCTCTTTAATATTCATTATCAATGCCTCAAAATAACCAAGTCAAATGAAGATGACTGGGTAAAGCACGCCGGCTTAGTAAATCGCGAATGCGAACGATTTAAATTATCATCAATGACGGAAGACCAGTTTAAGTGACTTGTGTTTGTGTACAGCTTACAATCTCCCGAAGATGCTGATATAAGAACCAAAATCTTAAGTAAACTTGGCAGTGCCCAAACATCTCGCTTCAAGAAATAACTGCAGAGTGCCAGAGATTAGTAAATTTGAAGCATGATACCTCCATGGTCGAAAACAATAGCCGTTTATCATACGTGCATGCCGTTAGTGAAAAGAAAAATTCCGGCTCACAAAAGCATCACAAGAGCACAGACAACCAGACCTCATCTCCATGCTGGTCTTGTGGAGGTTGGCACTACAAGAAGTTTTGTCCATATAAAGAAAACGTTTGCACTAAATGTCAAAAAAAGGGTCACAAAGAAACCCTATGTTGGACAAAAACTCGCAGACACTACTCCGTAAAAGTCGATTCCAAGAAATACAGTTCTGGTAAGCCAATAAACCGAGTACTGGTTGTAAATGGATTCTACAGTGGCCGTTCCAATGGGTTCCAATAGGTGCACTCCTGTACTCGATTCTCCCAGTCCCAGGTCCAAACAAATCAAAAAGGACAAAAATTCTAGGAGAAAGCGGTCTTATTTAATATAGACATGGAAATACAAAGCATTACCTGGAATTGATGCTCCTTCCAGGATACAATTACTCCTAAGAGTATCAGAAACAGCGATAGATAAGTGACGCTAAGTCCAGCGGCCACTGCATCAATCCAAATATGGCTGTAGCCATATTAAAGGTCAGATTTAAACAACATATATACAGATCAGAAGCAAACACAAAAACTTCAATATAAGTACAAAATATAGAAAGAATAACAATATACAATGATAAAATCTCAAATTGGAATCAAATAAAATACCAAAAATGTCAACAGAAAAAGTCCGTCATGTCATAACAAAAATATGTAATCACGGAGGGATTTTCCAAAAAACAAAACATTCAAAAAGGATTCTACATTGGTGTCTCATAACCAGACAGGAATCCACCACAGAAGTAGGTATGTGACTTTGGATATGAATTCACACTGTATCCGTCTTCAGCTTGACACAGCATCTGACATCACCCTTATCAGTCCAAAAACTTGGGAGAAAATTGGAAGACCTACAGTTCACCAAACGAAGCAACTAGCACACAGCGCATCTGGTGGCAAGTTAAATATTGATGTGGAAATATCGTGCACTGTTTCTAAATATGAGGCAACAACGAGTGCAACTGTATACTTAACTAAGAACCCAGACCTTGATTTATTGGATCTCATAGATGCATTAAAACTAACAGACCATTCTATCAACAATATCTGCAGCCGAGTAAGAATCAATAACCCTTCAGAGTCAAGTCTGAGAAATGCCATTATGAAAAGGCATCATCATGTATTTTCGGAAGCGTCGGGCGAATGTACGAAGGCTAAAGCACTACTGACTCTCAAGTCAACAGCTATTCCTGTACTTTATGCTTCTCTCCCGGTAGTTGAACAGGAACTGGAACGACTTCAAAGGAAAAAGAAAAGAAAAAGAAAAAATCTTATTCCGGGGAGGTGTTGGGATAGCCAATCGAGAAGAAAGCCACGCACGTTGTGGATTGATGAACGATTTGACTAATGTTCATGATGAACTATATGATTAATATTCATGATGAACTATTTGATTAATGTTCGAAATATTTAAACGACATTTAAATAATTGTATAAATACGCATGTTTGATTGTATATTTTTGATTCTGTTAATAAGTGTTCTCCAACATCTTCCGTCTTCTTATTTTTGAACAGAGGGGTCTAACGTTCGGTGTGTCATTAGTACAGTGGTTTGGCGTTACATCAAGTAAGAAACGTAAAAATTGGCTGCTGTGTATTTTGGTGTGCTATTTTCTTAACTGTCTCAAGGACGCTTCTATGAGGTATAAATAAACGACAGTTGTATACTTGATTGTACTGTGATTCCTGGGTGTTTGTAGAATATACTTTCTACGCTTACAAAGCCTTTTTACTCTATTTGGGGATTCAAGGTAGCCTACCTGGACGCTGGTAAGAGTCTTGTTCGCGTTTATCGACTAAGGTAAACTCATAATAGCCTCAAGCATACTTACGCATAGGAGCGTATCACAAAGCCTCGCCGACTGGCACCGGACAAGTTAGCTTTCGCTGAACGTGAGTTCGACAATTTTACTAGCTACTGGTATTATTCGAGGAATGCTGTTCAAACATTTTAAAGGTTTATCGATTGCATAGTTCGAGACTTTGATTTTGTTCACGTCTATATTGATGATCTGCTAATCGCATCATCAAATGTAGATGAAAATTAGAAACATCATACGCTCTTATTCCAACGCCTCTCGGATAATGGAATAGTAGTTAACCCAGACAAGTGTGAACTGGGCAAGACAGAAATAAGGTTTTTGGGTCACATCATCAAGCATGAGGGTATTCTACCTTGTGGAGACAAAGTACGTACAATCGTGGAGTACACTGTACCGTCTTCAATCAAAGAACTGAAGGCTTTTCTCGGTTCGGTCAACTTCTACCGAGGTTTCATTCCTCACGCCGCTAATTTCATATCCAATCAGCGCCTGATCGAATCTTGGAGAACAGGGTAGAAGATTCTCGTACTGCTAGCTGCGTGCCGATTGGTTAAATCTAATTCAGTCGATCACGTGAATTTCTATCCAGAAGCTTCTGATGTAAATGCTATAAAGACTAACGTTTTATCTGTTTTTGCCTTCGCCTTCGCCATCACCTTGGCTTCTTATTCCATTTAATCTTGCTATTTGGAATATAATCTTTTCCTGTTCAACCGTGTTTTTGATTCTTGGATTTAGCTGGGAATTATTTAAGCAAGCATTACAACACTTCTATTAGGTATCCCACATGAAATTTTAATTAAAACTGAAATTTGTCGGAATAGGTGATGCAATTAAAGACTGGATATGTGACTTACTCAGCAGTAAGCGACAATTAGTACGAAGCCTTAACAATACTTGAATGAAGACATATTTGAGTATTATACCTCACGTTTGTAGGGTCATATTAAGAGTAAATGATTCAGGCAGAAAACAATGAAATGGATTTACTGAAATGGGTCCGGCGGCGAGGGACTGAAATGGGGCAAGACTTAACAACTTATCTTACTCAGACAACTGAGATGCCTCAACGTACGTCCGTTTGACTACCACTGGGTACGAGGTGATTTGATGATGGCTTACCACATGCTGAAATACAAATTTGGCTCAGTATATCTTAGGTTTTTCTTTTCACCTAGGAACAGTTATCTCAGGACATCTTAAGAAAGTTCAAAATCATTTAATTATAGAGTTTCTCTCATCGAGTTGCGAATTATATGAATTCTCAATTGGAATATGTTATATTCACATACTCAGTCGATAAATTAAAAACAAGATTGGATCATTGCAATAAAACAATTTTCATGGGTTACTATATGTCGATTTTACCTTCTATCCTTAACGCAGAATGTCATTGAAATATTCAAAAGTAACCTTCATCTTTCCCAATAAATCAACTATGACCTTGCTAACAATGTCTTTCTGTTGATTGACTTTCAGATGTCGGATGATTCCAGCTTCCCTTTAATTCCGATAATTAAGCAGCATTGAATTTTCGTCTATCCTTTTTCTGTCACTTTTCTGGTCAACCAAGTGCACTGCATAAGCTTATGGACAATAGCTTGTTTAATTCTTCATTAAGGCACGAATCCCTTTATAAGTTTACTGTTAGATTTTCACCTTGATGTGGTAGTTTTAATTTCTAATTCGTAACACAGGTGGTGTCTGTCCTAAGATAATAGATAGTGTCGTCGTTTGTTATCGCTCTCTGAACACAAAATCTATCTCACTTGAACCAGCCCCATGTTTATATGTAGATTCAGGCTCAGTTGTATTTTATATAATTTACCAGGTTTCGAGTCATTTCTTTTTCTCATTTGCCTTTTAGATTATCCACTTTTGGCCGTTTAACTTTTTTAAACCCTAAGAAAGTAATAGCTAGCAATAACAGCAGTTAATAAAAAGACCTGGTTTTTCAACTTATTTAATGTCAATTTCAGGTACTACTGACAATGGTGAGTCCTCTTAAGTTGCTGTGGAGATGTTAAGCTGGACCAAATATCAAGCTAATATACATTTATCAGGCTTTATACATGGTTTAGTGAAGCGATTGTACAACCCACTTGCCTCAGTTTGTCGCATCTTAAATCCAGAATAATTGGGAAGGAGTATTTCACATGTAGAGGGAGGGACTCATGTCTCAGATATGTATCCATTGTTGCCTAAGGAGATTAGAATGCTGTATTTTATCAGCATCTTCACCGAACAGGAATGTCATCTGCGTACTCAACGCCAACGGATGGGTCGCCTAACTTAAGATTAATTCTTGCAAAGTTGGGGGACAAGAGCCTTATCTTTCAAAAGTGTCCGTTAATTTAAACCAGAACAGAGAAAATAGATATCCATGGTGACAGTGTGTCGTAGGCTCTAGCTCGATTAGTAGTGTTCAAGTCAAGAGCATGTACAAGGTTGACATACTTTACTAGGCCTTTTAATGACAGACGTTGTCATAGAACCTCATGCTTAACAGAGTCAAACAATGTACTGAGGTCTAGGGATGCAGTATGGTTGGACGTAGGAAATCATTTCCATGTTTCTGAACCTGACAAAAGACGCGTAATTGATCATTACATCCACTTCTATTTTTATAGCAGTCCGTTTGTCCTATTAGTGCTCTTAACGAGCCCTCGCTAAACATTGGCTGATTACTAGGGCCAATATATTCGATACGGTATTAGTCAAACTGACTCCTTTGTGGAAACCACATAACGATTCCTGTCCCATCGTGTATAGACTAGGATAATCAGCAAACGAGGCCAATCGAGTGGAGTTACGTTCAGTGCCCAGACCGTTTTTAACATCAGAGTCTAACAGCTAAAACTGAACAACTATCCTCAAAGATCTTTGTTGTTGCTGATCTCCCTCACTCTGGATTAGCTGTAGCATTTCTAATTTCAATATGAGTTAATTATAAATTACATTTTATTTAAGCGGTTTCTAACTCATAAAAAACGAGCAATGCGCTTCCTAAGTCCATCAATATATAAATAATCATAATTAAATACTTAATCACTCCTCCCGACTACCCTTAAATCGTCTTCATTACCTTTATACAATCTCAAAACAACTTTTTATTGTATATTACTTAATGATAAATTAAGGATCTTAATGAAAAATTTAATGTCTCGTTGTATAAAAATCCTACCTTTTACATCATTCTAGTAATTTAAAGACGTGTCTGTTCTATCGGATCTTGTGTATTCATTCGTAATTTATAGAAACATCGTGATAAAAATCCAGTATACGGCTTAAACACTAGTCCTCGATTTGGTCAAGCGTCATGCTCCCAACCATTTCATACAAATACAAGATCTGACTGTTACTATTGTAATCGCTTTGGAAAATTAGCACGCAAATGCGGTCACAATGATGCTTTCTTGTCCAAAAGGTCAGCTGCAAACAGATTTGGAGCACATTGTATTCGGAATGAAAATATAGTTCGAAGAACAAGTATGAAAAATGTTTAAGTTTGTTCGGATTAGCTCTGGTCATAAATTTAGTAAACTACTTATTCTGTAATTTTTTACACTATATACCAAGGACTCATATTCTTCCTCATTCGTTTCATTACATTACTTAATAATAGGTCATGTTTCAGTGAATAAATCTACAGTTGACGTAGTCAGCGACCAAAGTATGGTTATTTTCATTGCTCTAAAGTAACTGTTAGTATTAGTAGTAGTGATAAAGAACTTAAAGGAACTAGTGTTGAATACTTAGATCTAATGAATTATAAAGAATAAATACATCTACATCCCTGCAACTGATTTTGTTCGAACAAATATATATCTTTTCCACACCAAGTAATAAGTTTATGGTTTCGTACACAGTGAAGCCAGGATGACGATTGACCTGTATTGATTAGAAACGAGAGCATATACGGTTTCCCGTGCTCTGTGATTTCTTTTTCATTTCCCAGATAACTGTTGGTGATTAGGGTTAGGGAGAATCTTCTGTACCTACGATTCTAACAAAACGTGTCACAGATGTACTTAACACCTGTCTTTTGTAGACTTTAAAGAATATCTAGACAATGAAAATAGCAATAAGATTATTGTATTGTTACAAGTGGAAAGTATTTTAATGTGATATTGATGTGCGCTAGATTTTGTTTAGGTTTTTACAGTCTTGGTTCATCTATTTGTCGGAAAAACTATGTTCCATCAGATCTGAAAGGTAGACATCCTCAGTTTCCTCTAAATATGTTTGGTAAAAAGTGCAACTACCCATCTGTTCGTACCATAAATACAAGCTGATATGCTCTTTAACTGTGTGCAAATATTTTTAATTTACTATTGGTTATATAAAATTTCAATTTCTATTACATTTGTTGCATTATATGCAAGTTTGTATGCTTGATCAATAACATGAAATCCTCATACATAATCGTAGCTTTATTTACATTTACGCATCTGTTCGTTAATACAATCCCTTTACTTTTGTAATTTTTACTAGACCCGAATAGGGCTGTTCCATCTGCTCCTCCTCCTTCATCAATTTTTCCTGTACCGAATGTACCTCCAACCCCCCCTCCTTCTTATCAGGAAAGTATAGAATATACTTTACCGCCACAATATGAAGAACGGCTACCAGAAGGTAAAATGCCTTTTGTTTTTTGTACTTCCGTGAAATGGAATGCTAAAACTACTTTAACAAAATTATTTAATTATTTAGTCTGATAAACGATAGTTAATTTTTAAGTGGGATTATGCTGAGTAATATCAGTTCAGAACAAAAACTAACGGGTTAGCTAATAAACTGATTCTGTGATGATTTGAAGATTCATGAATTTATCAACTAAAACATTCAAATAAATTAATCTAATGTGGTTAAAAACAAAACCCATTTAACAGTATATATATTAAATACCTTGGTCTGGTCGAAACCGTAGCCAGTTCACTTCTCAAAATGTATAATCACTGTCAGAGAAGTCCTATTCATTGCCTTCTCACGGTCAAGGTGTCTTTTACAAAATTATGAGGATAAAAGTGGATGTTTGGCGCCTAAACCAGGTTAGTGGATGCAAAAGATCCACCAAAATTGATAGAAAAGCCTGATTCCAGACCGACAGATTGAATAGGCTCCAGGATCCTGAGGAAACAAATGGCACATAAACCTACTGTTGGTCACCAGCTATCATTATATTGGCTGGAATATATTTCCTGTAGGTTCTACCATGCCAGGCAGTTCGATTGGAGAACGATCAGACTAAAAGCAGCTTTTCTAGGTCTGAGGGTGAAGTCGTACTGCTGACTGTAGAGGCGTGTGACGGCAGTAAGATATTTCCCTCGGACAACCAGCATCTGTGGCGATGCTGCCTTCTCACAATGAAGGAAGGGTTAGAACTTGTCGACCCTAAAAATGTCACACCTCACCCTTCCTCACGGATTTCCGTCTCCGTCGGTAAGAATGCCCACTAAGGGCTTTCACGAGCGGAGCTAACGCTCAAAAAACCCTTCATAAAAAGGCCGTGCGTGACCGGCCTCAAGCAGTTGTCCCTTGAACTCTGCGCCCACGCTCCCAGGTCTCTAAGATTGACACTAATCTACCTTCATTTTCAGGTTGCTCAAGAAACACCCACGGTGTGGGCAGCCGGGAAGTGACAACCGCCCTCATACCCGTAACAGCAGCAGACGAGACCAAATCGGTCACAATCGGATCCTTCCTACACACCCTTACATCCCCCTTATCTTCACGACTAACTCTTCTCACACTCCTTTATCACCTGGTACCTCTGCTGCAAGCGATTTGAGTTCCCGAAATATTATTCCTGGTCTCCTGAAACCCCATTCTAGATTACATGTTGGGGCTTTTAATGTACGGATATTGTGTCAAATAGGGCAACAGACTTCCTTAGCTAGAACTTTAGAATCTCGCTGAATCGATGTATGCCGCGTCTCGGAAACGCGCATACAGAATCCCAGTAGTGTCACTCACTTGAAGTCATCATGTCAAGATATAGAAGCAACTCGATTTACCCTTCGTGTATCTGAAAGTCCTGACGCTGCTTCCCGGGGTCTCGCTTGTGTAGGTATAGCATTGAGTCGTAGGGCAGAACAATCTCCCCTAGACTGGATCCCAGTAGATAGTCGCTTGTGTGCTGTCCGACCGAACGGGACAGTAAGGACTCGGAAAGATAGGGAAACTAGCCTATCTAGTAAAGTATCGAAAATATTGGCGCAAAGGAAGTAGATGAACCTTGTACAAGCTCTGTACTCGAACACCACTTGTCGGGTGGGAACCTATGGCTAACTGTCATCGGAGTTCTCGACTTTGAGTGGCGTCCGCCAAGGCTCTCCACTCTTTCCATTCTCGTCTAACTTTGTCGTAGACGTGCTTTTAGAGTTAATATTATCCTTGTCAGATTTTTCAGGGGTGGATCTTCTACCAGGAGGATCGCTTATTGACCTAGAATATGCCGACCACATAGTTCTATTCGGTGAAAACGCTGACAAGATGCAAAGTTCTGACATGCAAGCATGTACTGGACGCAGTTCTCACCCTCGAAATGCTAAATGTTGCTTCAAGACTGGGTCGCATCGGCCCCTGTACTAGTGATAGGGAGTTGAGTAGTCGGGCGTGTCGACCGCCTCACTTTTCTCGGGAGTTTCATCAGCGCTGATGGCCTGGTGACTGACAAAATCTCAGCTTGGATACAGAAGGCTCGACTGGCTTTTGTTAATTTGCGTCACCTATGGCGTAGGCGAGATATCCGTTTGCTCACCGAAGGTCGAGTGTACTGCATAGCAGTTCGCTTCGTCCTACTATACGGATGCGAAACACGGCCGGTAAGAGTAAAAGATATTCGTTGGTTACTAGTATTCGATCACAGATGTCTTAGAAGCATTGCTCGTGTATCGTAGGACACCCGAGTAAGCAATGCTAAGTAAGGATGGCAAATCATCATTGAGACTTCATCAGTTGAGGTGGTTAGGACATGTGTTACGTGTGCCTAACCATCGACTGCCTTGACGAGCAATGTTTTGCGATATAGGAGTAGATTGAAAGAAAGCTAGGGGTGGCCTAACCAAAACACAGCAGAAATCCATGAAGTCACTGACTAGTGAACTGAGTCACGTTGGTAGATGTAGGCTACCTGGTTGGGGTCCGCGAGACGAAAGTCACCGATGGTTAGAGACCTTGGATGGCATGACTTAGAATCGTTTGCAATGACTCGGGTGCATCCATTCGTTGTGTTCTCTCAAATCCTAATCTTCTGGATTCGTCAACACCTCTTCCTTTGTTTTTCTAAACTTATTTCACTGAATTATACTTCCTAAATCAAATCTCCGAACCGTAATCTTCTCCAATACTTCTATTACTTCTACTATCGCTACCACTATTGGATTTGAATTGAAAATTGTGTTTCTGTGACAATGTAGTATGGCAACATGAACTGATGTTCGTATGTACGACGTTTTGTGTTGTTGTTAACTGACTGACTGTCTGACTGTTAGGCTCTGCGATAACGCTGCCAGGCCGATCAGACCAATGATAATCCAACTCGTTTAGATTCCTCAAGAAACACTTTTCTATCGAATGGGCAGCTGAGAAGTGACATCTATCCTCACGCTCGTAACAACACACGAAACCGAATCGGTCACAATTAAATCCTTCATTAACCTCTTAATAACCTTCTTACCTCCACGAACAACCCTTCTCTCATTCTTTTGCCACTTGGCGTCTCTGATGCCAACCTTTCGAGTTCACAAAACGGTATAGCTGGCCTCCTGAAACCACACTGTTAACTACATGTTGGAGCTTTTAATGTTCGAACCTTGTGCCAAATGGAAAACAGGTTTCCGTAGCTACGACTCTGGAACCTTTTGCCATCAATGTATGCTGCATCTCAGAAACGCGCATACAAGATCCAAGTGGCGTCATTCATCTGACCACACTGTGTCAAGATAAACAACCAGCTAGATTTACTCTTCATATATCTGGAAGCCCTGATGCTGCTTCGTGTAGCCTCACTGGTGTAAGTCCCGACCGAAGCTGCTACCTTGACGCGGTGGTCGGGCTTGCCTATCGTGATGACCCAACCGAGCTATACTGGCTGGAACATATGTTCCTCAAGGTTCTACCATGCCAGACAGGTCGATTGGAGAACGATGAGACTAAAAGCAGCTACCCAAGGTCTGAGGGCGAAGTCGTACTGCTGACTGCAGAGGGGTGTGACAGCAGTAAGGTGTTTCCCTCGGACAACCAGCATCTGCAGCGATGCTGCCTTCTCACAAGGAAGGAAGGGTTAGAAAAGGTCGGCCCTAAAAATGTCACACCTCCCCTAACTCACGGATTTCCGTCTCCTTGGGTAAGGGTGCCCACTAAGGGCCTTTAAGAACGGAGCTAATCCTCAAAAAACATTTCATAAAAAGGCCGTGCGTGACCGGCCTCAAGCAGTTGTCCCTTGGGCTCTGCGGTCACGCACCAACACTAATCTATCTTCCTTTTCAGGTTCCTCAAGAAACAACCTTCCACGGTGTGGGCAGCCGGGAAGTGACAACCGCCCTCATACCCATAACAGCACGCGAGACCTAATTGGTCAAAATCAAATCCTTCCTACACCCCCTAGTACCTCTCTTATCTCCACGACTAACTCTTCTCACATTCATTCATCACAGTGCACAGCTAATGCAGACGATACGAGTTCGCGAAACGTCGTTCCTGGTCTCCTTAAACCTCGCTCTAGACTACATGTTGGAGCATTTAATGTACGGACATTGTGTCAAATAGGGCAACAGGCTTCCTTAGCTAGGACTTTAGAATCTCGTGCCATCGATGTATGCTGCGTCTCGGAAACGCGCATACAGGATCCGAGTCACGTCATACACTTGGCCACACCATGTCAAAATAAAGAAGCAGCTCGATTTACTCTTCGTGTATCCGGTAGCCCTGATGCTGCTTCCCGGGGTCTTGCTGGCGTAGGCATAGCATTGAGTCGTAGGGCAGAACAATCTCTCCTTGACTGGATCCCAATAGATAGTCGATTGTGCGCTGTCCGACTAAACGGGACAGTAAGGACTCGGAAAGATAGGGACACTCGCCGTTGCCTCTTCATCGTATCTGCCTATGCCCCCACTGAATGCAGTTCAGACGAGGTTAAGGATGAGTTTTACAGAAAGCTTTCGGACCTCCTCCAAAAAGCTAGGCGCTCTGATATAGTAATAATGGCTGGTGACTTTAATGCTCAAGTAGGTAGACTGAGTGAAAATGAGAGACACCTAGGTGGATGTTATGGTGTCGCGGCTCAGAGAACAGACAATGGTGACCGTCTGTTGCAAGCATGCTCAGACAACCGCCTATTCTTAGCAAACACCAACTTTAGGCATCTGTTGACCTGGCGACCTCCAAAGTCGTCTCAACGTTGGACTCAACTAGATCACATCGCCATCAGCCACCGATGGAGGGGTTCGATAGAGGACTGTCGCTCGTTCTGGAGCACATGTTTGGATTCAGATCATGCCCTAGTGCGAGCGCGTATTTGTTTGAAGCTTACTGGGCGTAGGAAAGACACCGTAAGAAAGCCTCTTAGGGTTTTACTCAATGATAATAAGGCGAAAAATATATTTCAGGAACAACTAGAAAGACAGTTAGGC